TATAGGTGAAAGTAGGTGCACATATAGTTATAAGTAGTTGCACCTATAGTTATAAATAGTTGCACATATAGTTATAAGCACACTCAGGTGCATGAATAGTTGCGGAAAGTGAATGCTAACAAGGCAAAATTACATGCACTTATAGGTGTGCACTTATAAGAGATTTTACTTGCACTTCGATGTTCAATTATTTACGAAAATACCACCGCGTTTTTTTTTAAGTTATTAGATCTGGACACGTGTCACGCGCTGATTCGTTCGCATTTCCTTCCTGGGTACTTATTCGCACCTGAGTGCGTCCCTATATATATATATATATTAATGGGGTGAGGCAGATTACTACAAAACAGAGTATGAAATTGAATGGATATGGGTCGGAGTAGGTGCAAGTTTGGAATGCCGGTTATCTTTTCCCCAAACTATTCCAAGGCAACAAATAATTCATGAGCGAATGTTTTCGTAAAATTAGCAGATAATTTCATATCAATTTGAAAAGTGTATCCAACCATTTAAAAAAGAATTAATTTCACTAGAGGTGACTTGTTTTTCGTGGCAATTTCAAAATTAGTTTCAGACTATTTTTTTATCATTTTACATCCCAAAATATCATTTTTTTTGGATAATTTTAGTCTTTCTTATGAATTTTTCTATTTTTAGTAAGGGCATTTTTGTCTCTTCATATTTTTCTTTTGTTATTTTTTCGATTTCAACCGGTTTAATTCGTTTAGAACTTTACTAAAAATCAGTTGAAAAATATGGTTACTAAAAATCAAAGGTTACCTAAAGTTCTAAATGAATTAAACTGGTTGAAATTGAAAAAATAACAAAATAAAAATATGAAGAGCCAAAAATGTACTTACTAAAAATAGAAAAAGTTATAAGAAAGACTAAAAGTGCCCATGTAAACACAAAAAAGTAAACTTTGTATATATATTCACAAAATTCCTTGTACAGTGTGTGTATAATTCAATGCAGGTACAAAATCTCTGTCTAGTCCTCTGATTCTTCACTGACGTTATCTATGAAAGTGCCTCCGGGATTCAATTAGCGTAGCCTCCGGGATTCAATTGGCGTGTGCCTCCGGGATTCAAGTGACGTAGCTTCCGGGATTTAAGTTGCGTAACTTCCAACAACGAGCGTCAAGAATTTAGAAGTAATCAACCCTGCAAAGTTTCAAAACACATGCAATGGATTCAAGCTGCTTTAAGATCCTCAAACGCCTTCAAAAGACTTCAATATCTTCGAGACAATCAATTATGCAAAGCTCCAAAGTACCTGCAATGGATTCAAATTGCCTGCAAAATCAACAAAAAATGCCTTCAACTTCAAGCGTTCTTCAATGCCTTAAGGCTCTTCAAATGCTCTCAACTCCTTAAGTCTTCAAGTTCTTCAAGCTTTCAAGTGTGTTTTTGGAATGAAAATGAAGGCTCTATTTATACTAGAAGCCTAACCAACATTCCTCAACAAACTCCCACTTTAATTAATTAATTAATTAATTAATTAATTAATTATTCTAGGAAAATGAACCTTGTTCGAGATCAAGTTTAGGTTCATTATCGTATAATGAAATTCAAATTCAAATTAAATTATAATTATCTAATTCAAATATAATAAAATTAATATTATATTTAAATTAAAATTATAACTTAAATTCAAATATGAAATGGATTTGGGCCAAATTAATTAATTAATTCAATAGCCCAAATTAAATTCTAATTGGGCTAATTAAATCAAATTAAATTGACTTCTATGATCCAATTAATTAAATCGGTCCAATCATCAATCTCGACGTCGGCCCAATAACAATTTTATCCGTCTATTTTTCGGGTTCAATTTTTCTGTGTCTACAAATTGCCCCCTCGAGACTTGTCTGGACATGCTGCTTGGAACGAGAAAGTCTCGAACATTTAACAAACAGTCCTTTAAACTGGTCGTGGTGTATCTAAACTCCATGGACCCAAACATTTTAAGACTTTGCCATGTTGAATACTGAGCTCACTGACGCATACTGAATATCTCGAAGCCCAATATCATTTTAATCAAGTTGCATTACATGATGTCAAGATTAGGCCACTTCAAAGCCCAACAACAATCCAACTCCTCTGCCTTGACCACCTTAATTACAAGTTTACAACTTTGTTGTCCATAATCCATTAACTATTTTCGCCATTGCACCCATTGATTAACTTATAGCTAAGTAAAATTAATCCATTAGCGTAACAACAAGTATAGAATCCTACTATACTTCCAACTCCAATCCTGATTGGAATTTAAAGTTTTGAACTCCTTAGCTTTCGCAATCTAACTCAACATCGAACACTCAAAGCCATCTATAAATAAAGTCGAATCCCATTATTCTACCACCGTGATCAAGATTTAAAATAGAAGGTTTCAGAGAAGCTGTTCATAGTCTGCCCTTTCAGTAAGGTAAAATCTTATTCCTAACCTCTTTATCTTCATCTTCCACATACGTTCCATCTTCAGGACCAGGAAGAACGAACCCATAAAACAGACGATCGATCTGTTTGATTTTTTTTCGACCGTCGCCATCAACTTCTTCAAAGAATTCCGTTAATCACATGGAAGAACGAGTTGCCGGAAGGTTTTTTTGTTGTTGTTGTTTTTTTTAGTTGGAGGTTGCCGGGCTGCTGGAATTGTTGGAGGTTACTGTTGTTGGAAGTTTCAACTGCAACCGAATGTTGTTCACCCTCTGTTTCTTCACCGTGCAGTGGCTGTTGCAGGGGGATTTTTGTTGTTTTTTTTTTTTCAGGAAGTTGCCGGAGCTCTTCACATAAGTCGCCGATTGCTTTTTTTTTTTGTGTGTGCTTTTTTATTGCCGTAGGAGGTTTGTTGCGTCGGACTGCTATCCACCGGAATTTGTTCTTCATCAAATTCGCACGGGTTGGGAGACCGCCGCTATGCTGAAGCTTTGCATCTGTCGAGAATCGCTGCTCCCGGAAGTCTTTTTTTTTTTTTTTTTGAAGGCCACTGGAAACTGATGCCGCGAGACCACGAACCATGGATGTTGATCTTCTGCTGCTGCCGGATGCCGATCGTCGCCGCTAAGAGTTGGCGCTGCTGGGTCCAGAAGTCACCGGAGTTTGCTCTACATAGCTAAGGCTGCTAGACTTTTCCGCATGAGACTATGACTCCTTGTTCTATTGTAGAGAGGCTCGCGTCATTTTGTAGAGAGACTCGAAACAGAGGCCAAAGCCTGAACAACGTGCATTTGCTGATACTGGTTTACAAATCTCAAAGCCTTCACGTGATAAAGATGTTGCTGTCATGTTTATGGGGAATGAAAGAAATCATTAACTCAACCAGGGCCCACGTACATTCAACAAAGTTTCACAGCATACCATCCTGGGGCCTCACTCTTTTCCGTTTTTTCTCTTTTTTTGTGTTTTCCCTTCATTTTTCAGTTCCTATTGTTTCATTTTTTTCCCTTCGTTTTTCACTTTCCCTTTTCTTTTGTTTTTTCCTTCTTTTTTTTTTTTAACTCTCTTTTCATTCTTTGCTCTTGTCTTTCTGTTTCGTTTTTTTCTTTTCTTTTGCTTTGTCTTTTCTTCTTCTTTTTTTTCACTCTCTTTTTTTACTTTGCTTTCTTCTTTTTTCCTTTCGTAATTTTTTATTACTTTCTTTTGTCTTGCAATGTCTTGATAACAACTAATATAACATAATATAATAATGTTATATTAGAAAAGCCCACCAACTCTAATGTTACATAATAATAATAATAATAATAATAATAATAATAATAATAAACTAACGTTGTATATATATGTACATAGTATATATGTAATCCACATGTGGTATACAACCATTATTGCATACAACCATTCGAGACTGCCCCACGTTGACAGATGAAGATGAAGAAAAGCTTACTTCAATCAAAAGAGAGCTGGAAGCGTATAAGGAAGATCTCATGAGCTTTAGAATACTTTAGATTTTTTTTTTTTTAGATTTTTTGTACAACGCATGAGTTTTATACTTAGAAACAAGACTTGAATACGACTTGAATTCTCTTATCTTTTCAACAATAATACTTGCAAACAATTGAACTTGAGCATGAACAGAAGCAACTAAGTCTAAACCCAAACGAGTCACTCTAATAGAAATCTGGCAAAAGAATTCACCCGTAATTACAACATGAACAGAGATGACCCATCTCCAATACATCTACATTATTCGAACAAACGTGACATAAAAGGGGACACAAAGGGGTTTATTTTAGTTATGACTGAACTTAGAAGAGGAAGCGTTTCTAAGCTGCCTACGTACTCCTACAGAGGAGATCAAGTCAAACGTAGTTCAAAGGGCCATTTGAATAAGTAGGTTCGTTTACAGTTTAAACTCATGCGGGCCAGGAGTTTACCTTACACAGTTTAAGCTCGTGCGGGTCAGGAGCGTCTATGACTTGGGCCCACCCATAGACAAGCGAGATGCATTAGTAGTTTAACCACGTGCTGCATTTTTGGTGGATATCATTCATTATGTAGTCCGTGTGCTTAGGGATGATAGATCTTTAAGAATTTCCCGTTAATAGGGCCAACTCGCACACCATCTTCATCAATTAGCTTGTAAGCACCTCCTGAGTATGCTTCTTGTACTACGTAAGGTCCATCCCATTTTAGAGTGAACTTGTGCCCAGTTTTCCTTGTAATAATGATAGGTCTACGAACCGCCAACACCTTGTCACCAACCTGAAATGAGCGAATCCTTACCCTTTTGTTGAAAGCTCTAGAAATTCGAGCTTGATAGCATTCTAAACTTTGTTGAGCCTGCAATCTCTTCTCATCGAGAGCTTCTAACTCTGCCAACCACAACTTTACATTATCCTCGTCTGTAAGGCCTTCTTGGATAGCTAACCTTAGAGAAGGTATTTGGCGTTCAAGAGGCAAGACTGCTTCAACCCCATAAACCAGTGAGTATGGAGTGCTTTGTGTTGGTGTACGGTATGTAGTTCTGTATGCCCACAGTGCTTCTTCCATTCTCTCTTGTCAATCACGCTTTGACTTCGACACCACCTTTTTTAGTAGATTGCATAGAGTTTTGTTAAAAGCCTCGGCAAGTCCATTTGCAGCTACATAATAAGCTGATGAATTTCTTTGCTCGAACTCAAAAAGTTTGCAGATTTTATCCATCAATTTATTATCGAATGGTTTCCCGTTGTCGGTTAGGATATACCGAGGGATGCCAAAACGATAGATAATGTGAACTCGGATGAAATCTGCAACATTTTCCTTCTTCACTTCCTTTAAAGCCACTACTTCAGCCCACTTTGAGAAATAATCGGTGGCTGCTAATATATACGAATGCCCTGCTGATGACTTGGGTGTAATAGGACCAACCATATCGAGCCCCCATGCATCAAATGGCCACGATGTTACCGTCGGATGTAGCGGTTCAGGAGGTTGATGGATAAAGTTCGCATGAAATTGACATGCTTGACATCTCTGTGCATAGTCTATGCAATCCTTCACCATCGTAGGCCAGTAGTAACCCATTCTTTTGATGTGAAAATGTAACTTAGGACCAGACTGATGAGCACCGCACACTCCAGAGTGAGCCTCCTCCATCGCTTGTAAAGCTTCCTCTTCGCCTAAACATCGAAGAAACACACCATCAAACGAGCGTCGGTATAGAGCATCCTTGAAATATATGAAGCGAGGAGCTCGACGTCTTACATCTACCCTCTTACGAGGGTCTTGGGGTAACTTCCCATCAACAAGGTAGTCAATCAATGATTGCCTCCAATCCTCTTTATCTACCTCATAGACAGAAGCAGTCGGGAGTTCAACAATGTCGTCAAGAGAGCCATCGTCCTCGAAGATTGGAGGGACCACCCATTTTTGGCACACTCGTAGCCGAGCCTCATCTATAGGATGTGATATAGTTAAAGCCAAAGCAGCTAAGGCATCAGCTTGCTTATTATGTTTCCTTGGAATATGCTCCATCGTAGCATCTCCTAGCCAATGCAGGAGCGTCTTCGCATAACTGTTGTATGGGATCAACTCAAGCTTTTTTACTTCGTAAACCCCAAGTACTTGGTTCATAATTAGTTTGGAGTCCCCGTATATGTTAACCCTTTGTTGCTTCATATTGGCTGCAATTTCAAGTCCCAAAATGAGTGCCTGATACTCGGCAACATTATTCGAGCAGCGTTCTGTCAAGGTAAATGAATAAGGAAGCACTTCCCCTTCAGGCGTAACAAAGACAACTCCAGCGCCTGCCCCCTCTTTGTGTGCCGCTCCATCAAAGTACATCTTCCATGGAGGTAAAACTTCAACCACATGCACGTCCTCATCAGGTAGGTCACTGGACAGCTCCCATTCGGCAGGAATTGGATGATCAGCTAGGAAATCTGCTAAGGCTTGCCCCTTGATGGACTTCTGTGGTACATAAGTGATCTCAAACTGTTGAAATAATAAGTACCACCTACCAAGTCGATCGGAAAGAACAACCTTTGACATGACATACTTCACTGGGTTTGCCCTGGAAACTAGTCGAATTGTATGCGCTTCGAAATAATGCTTGAGCTTCCTGATGGCGAATACAAGGGCCAAACACAACTTCTCAATTGGCAGATATTTGAGCTCATTTGGCGTCATCATTCTACTTAAATAATAAAGGGCATTTTCTTCCCGTTATCATTCTCTTGTGCAAGTAAAGCACCCACCGAGCTTTCTTGGGCAGAGATGTAAAGGATCAACGAGCGTCCTGGAATTGGAGCAGTCAGCACAGGAGGCTTCATTAAATAGGACTTGATGCTTTGGAAAGCATTCTTGCAGGCCTCATCCCATACAAATGGGCCACCCTTCTTCATTAACCGGCTAAAGGGCTGACATCTTCCTGCTAGGTTTGATATGAATCTTCTTATATAAGCCAACTTCCCTTGCAAGATTTTAAGCTCATGAAGGTTCTTTGGCTCAGGCATCTTCATTATAGCGTCGATCTTTGCTTGTTCGATCTCAATGCCCCTATGTCGAACAGTAAACCCAAGGAATTTGCCAGCAGCAACCCCAAAAGCACATTTCAGGGGGTTCATTTTGATTTGAAACTTCCGCAAGCGGTCAAATACCTGTCTTAGATGCATCATGTGATCTGTGCGAAGTTTCGACTTCACAACCAAGTCGTCTACGTAACATTCCACCATTTTATGCAGCATGTCGTCAAATATAGTCTGCATGGCCCTTTGGTATGTAGCACCTGCATTTTTCAGACCAAAGGGCATCACTTTGTAGCAGTAGATACCTTTTGGCGTACGAAACGCTGTAAACTCCTCATCTTCTGGCGCCATGCGGATTTGATTGTAACTGGATGAGCCATCTATGAATGACATGATCTCGTGTCCAGTTATAGCATCTATCATTAACTCTGTGATAGGGAGCGGGAAGTCATCTTTCGGGCATGCAACATTAAGATCTCGAAAGTCTACGCACACGCGGATTTGGCCATTCTTCTTGCGCACAGGCACAATGCTGGATATCCAAGTTGGGTATTTAACTTCGCGAATGAAACCAGCCTCTATAAGCTTGTTGACTTCTGCTTCGATTGAGGGAATGAGCTCGGGGCGGAAGCGCCGTTGAGCTTGCTTAACCAGGCGACACCCCTTTTTCACTGCCAAGCGGTGCACGGCTACCTTTGGGTCCAACCCTGACATCTCCTTATATGTCCATGCAAATACATCGATATATTCTTTCAAAAGTGTGACATATATTTCTTCATCTTCGTTGGAAAGGAGTGAACTAATGAAGATAGGTCGAGGACTTTCAGGAGTTCCTAGATCCACCTCTTTTAGTTCGTCCACTGCAGCCCTTCTTCTAGCTCTTGAGGCGCATCATCTGCATCTTCACCCTCGGTTGGAATCTCATCATATAATGTTATATGAAATGACGATGCCATCTCATCTTGACTTGGTGTTGCCTCACAACTTGAATCAATGTTTTCTTGACTTCTTCCTTGCACTTGGGTGTGTACAATGGTTCTTGGTTGGACCTTCAAAACTTCACCACACGAGACATGGATATTAACTTCTCTTCTCATGCGAGATGGAACGGCACTCCTGAGCCTTTTTGAGGGTTCCATTTCAGTAGGAGGGTTGGTCTGCTCCTTCAAACTCTGAGTAGGCCCAATTGTAACACCCCAGATTTTCAAGACATTTAAAACTTATATAACAAGGATAACATCTCATTAAATCCCAAAGTATAATATAAGCGTACGGGGTGCTATGCCACACCTGGGCTAGAGAACCCAGGTGCACAGGCTATCTAACTAATATCATCCGAAATATAAATGCATAACATGGCACGCAGGCCGAAAGAGAAACTACTCTACTTCTACGTTCCAGTCTAGCGCGCTCTAGTGCTCTAATCCTCTGTGCCTGAAAGCCAAATATATCTGTTCAGCGAGAGATGCTGGTAACCCACTCCAACGTGTTGAAATACAATACATATAGAGATATATATAGATATACGAAAACCATTTTGATCATGAGGATACATCCTACGAACTCTAGCTTTTAAAACCGGGAATGACTCGACAGATAAGGCTAGACACAAGCAACAATTATAACAAGCGTATACAATCCACAACAGGCAAGACAGATAAAGCTGAGCACAATTAATAATCATAACCCAACATAAACAATCCCCAGCATAAATCCCATAGTCACATCCCCCAAGATGCTCATAATCACAACTCATCCATATCTCATCACATAGCACACTTTGTTGGCGCCACAGGACCAATCGCATGCCCATACATGAGGGTCAGCGCATATAGCTCTGACACGGCCCCGCAGCACCCTGCCCCGTATCGCAACACGAAAGGGTCGATCGCAACCGACCGATGAACCGCAGCTCATCATAGTTTGATCGCAACTAAACAGTGGACCGCAGTCCAAGAGTATGTCATCTGACCGCAGCCAGGAAAGTATGAACCGCAGCTCATGTAGAAACGTTTGATCGCAACCAAACGGTGGACCGCAGCCCAAGAGTGTAAATCTGACCGCAGCCAGCTTCTGAACCGCAGCTCAGGAATAACCAATCCGATCGCAACCGGATTGGGGTATCATGCACACATAACACATAGCAAGCACATGCAACCCACATTAACACATTGGGATGGGGGAGAAAGCGTATAACAAAACCTATGCGTGATCCTTCACATACTAAGAATAATCCTAAGGGGTTCATACTTCTTCCACCTAGGTCAACGGGATACCAATTCAACTAGCATGCAATATATAAGACTCATAAACCTACGAACGGTACCCGAAACATCAAACTAGACACGGCACGATGAACGGAGTCCATTGGGACACCACGGGGATCGGGGAAACATCAAATGGGGGAGCCAAAATCCCAAGTTGGGATCCAAACCAGCGGGTAGCCGGTGGGTGAGGGATCACCCGCCGGCTGCCCGCCGGCGGTAGCTAAACCGGCAGCGGGTGCCCGGCGGGCACCTGCCCGCCCGCCGGCTGCCCACTGCCGGCGTTGCCCAAGAAGGCCGCGGGTAGGTGCCGGGTCCCCTACCCCCCACTGACTCTTTCATCACAAAACGCCCCGGGAACCTTTGTGGAACCCGAAACCATGCTTAGACACTTTCAAACGCAATTGATAACATACATAGACAATTATCGGATCAAAATCAAGAAACATACGGCACATAACCTATCATGCTTTTCTAAACATAATCAACACCCAATCATGCGAATTCCCGCCCCATATACCAAGAATGATATCATGCGATACAACCTAGGGTTCTAATCACTTTTAAATCAACAAGGACACAATTCATCTTCTAATATCAAGATTCGGTAAGAATATCACATAAACATCAAGAACATCTTACAATTATCAAGAACATCATATAATCATCATGAACGTCATATAATTATCAAGAACACCATAATTATCAAGAACTTCTCATCATCAAGATCACCCATGGAATTATCTCATCAATCACCAATAATAATATCACAAATCATCAATACACAATAATATGGGGAAATCCTACGGGGGGAATCATAGCTATGAAAATAGGTTTTGTTGAGACATGGGTTACCTCTTAGCCTTAATTAATTCCTTGGCTACGAAGGATCTTTCTTTAAGCTTTCTTGATTTCTTCTAAGGGGATTCTTGGAGCTCTTTTGGGGTGGTGGGGCGTTATTCTTGTGGTGGGGGGTTCTAGGTGCCTCTTAAGTCCCCTATTTATATATTTAGGAGTCCTGGTTAGGAACTAATATTATAGGCTTGCTAATTCTATTTCTTTTGGAACTAAGGATTGGGTTTAGGGATAAGGGTCCATGGTCCATAGTGGACCATATTAATTAATTAAAGGGAATCCTAATCGTAGTCTGAATAGTAAAAGGCCTACTTCCTTTATTCCTAATAGATAACTAGGTCTAGGATTCCTAATTAGAATCTGAATAGTAAATGGTTTACTTTCTTTATTCCTAATAGGCTTAGGACTCTAATTTAGGCAAGGGTCCACGGTTCATGGTGGACCTTATTAATTAATTAAAGGAAACCTAACCGAATTAAATCATATTTAATTATTATTAACGGGATTAATTTAATAATTAATCCGGGATTGAAGGTCGTAACACGGGGTGTTACACCAATTCTGTCATGTACTGATTTTCTCTTAGCAGGTTTAGGATTCGGCCCAAGTCTACGAAAGACTGATTGTCGTGCTTCTACATCTCCGATTCTATCAAAAACAGACTGTTTCTTGTCACCTTCCTCCTCATCTGTAGAAGCGATGCAATTACTTGTGGCTCTGTTTATGAATATTCGCACTGGCTTAGGGGGAACATAACCCAATCCTTTCCGTTGATGCGGCTCCTGCTGATTTGACTTGCCTTTACCACCAGCTTCTGGGATGAGTTTCCCCAACTTTTGTGGCTCTTTGGGATCATATCCAGCTTTAAATAGAAGTTTATATGCATTAGGGTCGAAGCCGTCAGTGCGCTTAGCGGGCACTGTTTGACTTGCCCCAACTTGAGCTTCATCTTCAAGCGGTTTAACTGGAGCTGCTTTTAATGTTTCAATCCTTGCGAGTGGGAAAACAAGTTCCTTGTCGCAATGAGCTTGGTCTACAACTTTCTTGCCTTTCCACTTTGGATCAAGAGGTGTGTCAACATTGCTTTGCTCAGCCTCCTCTACAACTTGTTTCTTCAAGTAAAACTTTGCATCTGCAAAGTATGATTCTGCTTCAATGAAGGGAGTTTCATCAGCGACTACCTTTTCTATCACCCCGCCTTTTTCAAACATGAGGCATTGGTGCCAGGATGAGGGAACTACTCCATTCTCATGTATCCAAGGCCGGCCCAGCAGCAAGTTGTACGACGCCCTTGCATCTATCACATAACATAGTGTGCTTGAGTTTAGTGTCCCGATCCTGAGGTCGAGTCTAATGGTACCCAGTGTTCTTTGTCCGCCTTGATTAAATCCTTGGATCATTAAGCGACTTTGAGAGAGCTCATCGGTGGAGAAGCCAAGTTCTTTCATAGCTCGGAGTGACAGAATGTTCACAGCCGACCCTTGATCAATCAAAATCCTTTTAATCTTTTGCTCACGAGCATAACCTTCAACAAACAACGGGG